CCCCCCCCCCAAATTAACCCCCAACCCAACAGCCCACATCCTCAAACTCCAAACCTCCCTCGTCTCGCGCTTCGAGAACCTCGTCGCGACCGCCGCGCTCGAGAGCACCGACTACAACACGACCTCCGTCAACGCGCTGCACATGAAGGAAGAGAGCGCGGCGCTGGTGCGCGCGGCAGAGGACCTGCTGGGGCTGACGCGGCAGATGCAGGAGCTGTGGCTGTTCGGGACGCTGGATACGCTGAAGCTGCGGGAGGAGCAGCAAGGAGGGGGAGGCGCGGAGGGGGTTGCGGGGGCGGTGGAGGGGTGGGTGAAGGCGGAGGAGAGGGCGGCGGAGACTTAGGGCTGCCTAGGGAGGGAAGGGCGGAGATTTAAGGGCGTTTTGGGATGATACCATGGGTTTGCATTTGCTGGGCGTTTGGATGGGATGGGGGTGATATCGGAGGGGTTGGATTGGCTCGATTTACTGCGTGCCGGCCTTTTGGGACATTCAATGGAGGTGCTCCTAATCGGCGCTTGACCGATCTTCACATGTACAAGAGGGCTTCATAGCCTCGATAGATCACAAAATCTTGAGGTCTGATTCAGCGTGTGTTATCCGTGACATCTTCGCTGCTGAGCTTTTAAACCCCCTCGAAGTCCTTCGACGGGTTACGTACGCATGCAAAACCAGAGTATCAAGCATCACAATTGCGCACATCACAAGCAAAGTCATCAGCGATAGTACCAGTATGTCGAAAGCGCTGAACATAAATATTGAAAGAGTAAGTATCTATATATCCGTATACCCAGTCATCCGTAGACGACCACTAGATCTCGTAAAGCCATTCCCTCAAAGAACGCCAACCCAATTCCAAGGGTAATCCGAAGCGCGGTAGCCGTGGTATCTAAGATCGACTTCGCAAAGTACGCCGACAGTCCTCATGATACAAACGAACACTAATGCTCGAACGCAAAACGCTATATCCGATAAAGATGGACCCGAGACCGTTGCGCCTGTAGATAGCCAGAGAATCGCGACTATGAATGTATGCTCATGAAGAGTTGGACCCGGTTCCAGAATCATGCCCATCTGTTCGTAAGGCTTTGACCGCGCTTTCGACCTCTTCTCCAGCAATCCGTTGCCACTTTTCTCTAGTGCTCTGGTCGGCTAGGGCATTGGCGTCGCCGACCTTATCGTATAGCGAGCGACTAACATCGCGGTTTATGTCCGTGTATTGGTCCTTTGTGATCTCTTGCTTTTGATAAAAAGGTTTGAGCACGAGAGAAACCATTCGTTGTACTTCTGCTTTTGTCGAATACGAGAGCGACCGGTTTGGTGACGAATCTTTCGAACGTGGCGGACTAGAGAGAGCTCCGGGAGATTGATGATGTTTCCGACGTCCAGTTCTATATTCATCATCGGCAGGTGAGAAAGGCGGGAATCGAGAAGTTGGAGAGTAGCCGGGCGAGAGGTTTGGAGATGCCTGCAACGGCGATGTGGGCCGGGTGAGGTTCAGCGGTGGCGGCGTCATGCCGCCACGTGGGGTAGGATATACTGGTGAAAGTCCTGGTGATGAGCCAGGCGGAGAGCAAGCGCGCTCGATGATGACACGTCTTGGTTGTGGTGCCGCAATCTCATCTTCTCTCCTTGGTGTAACCTCAACCTCTTTGAGAAGGGATTGCAAGAAGCCTGATAGACCAGCGGCAGCATAGGCCCCTTCCTTCACACCATTTGGTGGCGATGAGTTGCGTGGCTCAGATACACGAGCTGCCGTTGACGCTTCCGCGACCGCGTCCTTTGAAGATTCACCGCCGATTTCTTGTGCAACTCGAGTGCGGGGCCTCTTCAACTTACGTTCGGGCTGGCGCGGCTCTGTGTCCTCCCCGGACGGAGACAATGTGACCGATTTCCGCTTCCTGCGATTGCGGCCACGGCCACTGGACGAGGAGCCACGACTCTGCCCGTTGAGTTCTGCTCTAGCCTTTTCGAACGCGTTCCAAGCTTGAATGTCCTCTTCCGACTCCGGGTCCCGAGGCTGCGGGGGATCGGGGCGATGAGGCAGGAGGGCAGTACCAATCTGGCGGAACCTGTTCCCAGCTCCATTCCGGCTGGCGACTGCCAGTCGTCTTTCATATTCTCGCGCTTCTCGCTGTTGTGCTTCGGTTCGCTGCGGTCGCTGGGGGTTTTCCTCGTCGAAAGGGTAGTCCAGATCCAGGTTGATGCGCTGCAAGACTGAGGCCCACACACGTTCGTAGGCAGTCAGACGATGTCCGCGGCGTATACCACTAATACGGTCCCGAAGGTTCTGGGGCTGCGGTCGGCGATAGGCTTGGGCGAGTATCTCGGGATTCTGCACACAATCCTGACAGTACCACGGACCACTAGCCGGCATGGAATCCAGCCCCGCGCAAAACACATGACAGAGCGAGTCACAGCCGTGGCATTGCATCAAGGTTTCCGGCTCTTCAAGGGTTTCGCATATTGTGCATGGGTCTAAGCCACCGTCATCCAGTATAACTACATCGTCGATGAACATGGTCGGATCGATGTCGGCAACTTGTTGCTTATCCTGGACAGGGTAGGACGATAACATGGGGCCTAAAAGGTCGGTATTAGCTCGAGTTGACTTGCCGCGTAGTTGACTCGTCTATCACTTACCTCCTATGCAGGCGCTTAGCTCTACGGTATTGAAGCTTTGTCGGCATATCGGACAACTATTCGCCCTCTCAACCCAGGGTTTCAGACATTCATTGTGAAGATTATGGCCGCATGGCAGAAGGTGCGCAATAATCTCGTCGTCATCGGGATCAGCATCGCGACTTGGGGACACGATGTCGTGGAGGCTGGGGGCGGTGTGTTCCTCGCCATCTTCAAGCGAGTGCTTCGACGGCGAGGGATCCGAAGTGGGTAAAACGTCGTCGCCACTGCCAGCGAGGTCACCGAGGCAGACAATGCAGCTCTCGGCCATTTGGGAGGTAGATAAACGAAGGGAAGGGTTTGCGAGTTGGAGTGAATTCGAGCATATGTAAGGCTTGGCGGCGTTGTAGATGGAAGAAGGATGAAGGAACAGCGGGGGGACCAGCCTTTATGGCGCCGCTACTGGATGCGCTAAGCCGGATCAGGCACGTGATCGGGTACCTATTGGACAGCGCGTCCAGGGTTGGATGAATGATATCGGTGGACCAGCGAGCCGCTGCCTAGGTGGCAGAACAGTCATACCCAGCAGCGCGAAGTGACGGTGGCTATGAAGTGAAAGAGTAACAAAGGGTCAGGAGGTTCTGCAAGGTAAGGTAGTGCAAACCAAATCGAGCTCCCACTGACCTCACCACGTGTTCGTCAGCCACAGAAGTCGAATCCGAGCGCCAGCTGACCGAGTCGGAGTGCGACGCGTACGGAGTAAGATTCAGATAAGATTCAGAATATCAGCTTCATCGTCACCAGGCATCCAGGAACGACGGCCGAGGAATCGTGATTCGAGCAATTTTGAGAATGAAGCCTCGTGAAGCATCGTGAGGATGGAATTTATTTTATAAAGTACGGAAACATGAATTGGTGCATGGTTCGCGACAGCATGGAGTGCTTTGATATGGTATTGGGCTGAACGTGAGGATTCGAAAGTCGGTCAACATGCGAAGCATATACGCCTCGAGGCGGATTTATAACATCTAATGCTTCGAAGCAGCCTAAGCAATGGTAAGCAAGAAGAATCGATCAACGGTAACACGTCGTCCACTTTGCCTTCTCAAGGATATTACATCTTTCCAGAGATCTGGTAGTGTTTGGAACGTCCTGAGTAGTAGCGAGGATGTGTCCGTAAATCGCGTTCCTGACCAAGCTTCAAGCCTCGAGTTCAAGTGTCTCAGAATTGCAAAATCCAAGAACGGACCTGCAATCGTAATTGTCCCGATCCGAGTCCTGGGTAGAGTTAGGCCCATAGATAACCTTGCAACACCACACGTCAAATACGACCAGCACACCAGATTCTTGTGGACAATCCGTTCATAACAGAGCCAGACCGCTGGTATTTTTCAGGAGGTTCTATCGACAGTCGTGTCGCCGTGGTTCGTCCGAAGTTGAAACCCAGAAGGAAACTCGAAACCCCGGCAAAGTATCCCATTTCATGCTGAAAACAATCCGCCTAAACCTCCGCAATCTCCCTCAAGCGACGAATCGTGGATCGGGTGGCAGCCGCAGCTGGGGTAGAGACAGTCCAGGCGCCGCCGGCAACGGTCTTCTTGCACTGCACATAGGGTTAGTATTTCTGATTCTTTCTTGGTGCGGTATTGATAACGTGCCGATCGACATTCCCAGATTCCAACCGAGTGACGCTTCACTGAGACCTTTCCGCCTGTTTGTAGTCAGTACTGTTGTGTGTCAAGCGAGTCCGCGGGGGCACTGGAAGTAATACAGAATGTGCATGCTGGGAGCAAGTTAGCCTAATTCTAATGCAATGAGGGGGTACAGAACTCACTGTATCTGGCGTGCTGGGTGATTTCCATCTTCTTGACCTGCTTACGCAGGGAGGCGCCATATCGGGTACCGTACTACGAATCGTGAGCTAGCGTTCCTAGGGAATTGTGCAGCCATGGCTTTCATGCGCGCATCGTGGGTTTATGCGGGATACTACGGACCTTTCCGGTTACGCCGACCCTGGGGAATATGTTAGTATTGCGAGGGTTCGTGGCTGGCAGCTTGCGGTTGGAGGCGGGCACTCACTTCTTTGTGCGTTTCGCTGGGGAAGACTGGTCAGTTCATATTTCGTACAGCAGCATGATTAGACTTACTCATTTTTGCAAGTTGTGCCGGGACAGATTTGCAGTTGACGGAGGTGGAATGGTTGGCGGTTCTGTGCGGAGGCAGCGAAGTCGAATGCCTCAAAATTGGCGAGTGGGCGCCAAGCCCTCGACATTCTCGTTTCAGCTTAGCGCATTATGGTCGCTGTCAGCAGCGCCCAATTCACGACTTCATTCTTCCACCACGCTAGATATCTTCTTGTATTCTTCGTATATGCTCTGGTAAACTCCAGAATAGCTCTAGCTCTTAGTAGAAAGCTTCAGCTTACAATTTTCAATCTCGAATTCACATCAGGCTGGGCAACCCATCCACCATCCCAGTCTCCACTTTGAGCAAAAATGCGTGACGATTGCAGTTGGATTCCCGGAGGTGCTCGTACAAACAATGGGAATCAACTCGGACCCAATCGTGGGCTGATTAGGTTACGTGTAATTGACCACTCGCCTCGGCATGACTTCATGGGCAGGATGTGAACCTCCACCACCTCCTCCACCTCACCTGCTCCGAAGCCCGCTCCATACTTTACTCTCCGCAGAACTTTCAAAAGAACTCACCTCAGACCTTACTATCATCGCTTCCTCCTAATCCAGCACACAGAATGGCGCACGCATCGCCCGAGTACGACTTGGTGCTTCTTGGGGCCACGGGCTACACCGGAAAGTACACAGCGCAGTACATTGCTCAGCACCATCCAACTGATCTCAAGTGGGCCATAGCAGGTCGTAACTCAAAGAAGCTTGCGGCTGTTTCTGAGACTCTGAAGAAGTTGAATGGTGATCGACTGGAACCAGGTACGGGTCTGCACGTATTCCTCTCTAACATGAATTCACATCCACCAGCGATTGAAATATGCGAGCTCGAAAAAGCCGACCTAGACAAGTTGGTCAAGAGGACCCGTCTCATCATCACAACCGTTGGACCTTACGCAAAATACGGTGAACCTGTCATCGAAGTTTGTGCCAACAACGGCACCCATTACCTAGATTGGTAGGAACTTACATTTTGATGAATGGTAATCGTCTGATTAATGATATCTAGCACTGGAGAAGCACCATGGCTCAAGAAAATGATCGAGAAGTATCATGATACCGCGAAGAAGAATGGTGCAATTGTAAGTCATTGAGATTCAATATGCGCATTTCATCATATCCTTTTCTATCATACAATGCCTCGTCAAATATCGGTAAATCCTTTCGCGCTTGCCACCGTCCTGACACGCTGGCTGTGAAAGAGCGGCACACTCATCAAGCACTATGTTTCGTGTACACCTGTCTACCACTGCGTAGGGTACTTCAATACAGTTTCAGGAATCTGGACGAGACAGAAGCCCTTCACTTCGGGCTATGTGGAATCTCGCTGATGCACCCCAAGCTGTGGTAAACAGGCGTACACATGAAACGTAGTGCTTGATGAGTGTGCTCTTTTTTTTTCACGCCCACCGTGTTTGGGTGCTTCAACAGAGTTTCTCCTATCTGAAAATGACGAAACATCATTATAGATATATATGCTACTTTTCTTTCTCCTCTTCAAGCTCTCCCTTAGTAATTTCTCAGACCGTGTATTGATCTTTTAACTTAGATGATACCGGAATGCGGTCTCGATTCAGTCCCAACCGACCTGCTCAGCTACGCTCTTGCCCAATACATCCGTAAGACCTTTTCCTCCGCTACCGCTTCCGTCACCGTCTCCATGCACAACTTCAAAGGTGGGATGAGCGGCGGCACCGCTGCCTCTATGATGAACATCTTCTCCAACTTTTCCCTGCGCGAGCTCGGCGCCGCCATGAAACCCTACGCGCTCTCCCCAAGCAAGCCGGCCTCGCCCACACCACCGCCTTCCTCAAATATCTTCTATAGCCTTCTCGGCCTCCGTCACATCAAGGAGCTCGGCCTATTGACTACCGGACCCATGGCCGGCCTTGACACGGCCATTGTCCACCGCAGCTGGGGCCTGTTCGAGCAGAGCAGCGCGGCGCGAGACAATCCAGATCTATCTTATGGCCCACGCTTTCGCTTCACAGAGTACATGCGCACTCGCAACACACTTGTGGGTGCTCTAATTTCTGGTGGGTTCACGGCATTTGGGGCGCTTCTCGCGTTTCCTCCAAGCCGTTGGATCATAGGGCCGCTATTGACCCACTTCGTGCTGCCCGCGCCTGGCGAGGGTCCGACGGAAGATTCGACAAAGGACGACTTCTTGCACTATCGGGCTATAGGAGTAGCAGATTCGAAGGGCAAGGAGCGTGCGGTCGCAGAGTGGGAAGTGCACACAGGGGCGTACGCTGTTACTGGGTTGACGCTTGCGGAGGCGGCAATGGTGATCTTGAAGGGCGACTTAGCGAGCACTGAGGCTGGGAAGATGGGTGGTGGGCTGTTGACTCCTGCGACGCTGGGAGATCAGTACGTGGAGCGCTTGAAGGCGGCAGGGGTGAGATTTGAGGTAGGCACTTCTGAGTAGGCCAATAGTCTCCAATGGGCAAAACAGTACGGGGGTTTTTTTCCCTTCTTTCTTGCTATTCACGAGCTTAGGGGTTTCTCGGAGATACTTAATACCATCCCATTTGATCACTACATCCAAAAGCGTGTTCACCCAAAGATATAGTGATAGGTTGTAAGGCTGCGTACACGCGTGTGCCACTGCTTGGGGTACCTCCATAAAACTTCAAAACCCCAGGCACGATGTCAAGTTTCTACTAGTGCAAATTAGACTGCCTCTTGACTGACTGGCTACTTACTAGCTAGGCTGCTGCCCACAGCAGTGTCCAGTGAGCACGATTAGAGCCAAGCAGCGATAAATCCGTGTGCCCAGACTTATGACCCAGTACTGCGGGACATATAACCATTTCTTCATCCAACCACCGCCCGTATCTCTACCAGCTTCTTCCATGTCTCGTCTTTTCCTGCAATATCCTTGCTCGCTAGATAAAGCTGATCCAAAAACGCCGGCACAAACGTCCCAGGCCCATGAACATGATGAGTCTCACCAACCCTCCCCGCCGCGACCCCAAACAGCACGATCCCCGCCACCGTCGCCCCAAACTTATCCCCTCTCCCCTTATTCGCCGCCAGAAACGCGGCCAGCACCGTCCCAAGCGAACACCCTGTCCCCGTAACCATCCCCAGATACTCATGCCCCCCACTAACCGCATACGACCGCACCCCATCACTCACCACATCCACCACCCCCGTCATAACGACCACATTCCGCTCCCGGCCCGCCAGCCGCCTCACCACCTCCGCCTTCTGCTCTATCCCCATTCCTGAATTTCCGCTATCGACTCCCCGCTGTTGAATGGCTCCGACGCCAGCTACTCCACTCACCCGCGCCACCGTCAGGATCTCGCTCTCGTTCCCCTTGATGACGTCGTAGTAGCCAGCGGCGAGGAGGGCACGGAGGGTGGCGCGGCGCGGCGCGGTGGCGCCGCAGCCGACGGGGTCGAGGATCACGGGTTGGCCGGCGGCGTTGTAGGCGGTTACGGCCAGCAGCCAGTTCTCGAGGGACGTCGGGGTCGCCGTGCCCATGTTTATGACCAGCCCGCCGCGGAGCGCGGCGAGGTCGGGGGATTCGTGGCCGTTGGTGGACATGATGGGGGAGGCGCCGCTGTGGGGAGTTAGGTTGGGTATTGGGGGAAGGGAAAAGGGAAACAAGGGGTTTGGGATGAGGGATTGGCTTACATTGATAGAGCTACGTTTGCGGCGAAGTTTTGCACAACGAAATTGGTCATGTTGTGGGAGATTGGTTTCTTTTCGATGACGGTTTGGACGGCTGTGGGTATTGAGTCTAGCAGTGCCGTGATAGAGGTGTCTTTTGACCATTCGGAGTGGTCGGTGGAGATGGCTGGGAGTATCCATGGGGGAGGTTCTCGTATCAGTTGTCTCAGGTGCTTGGAGGACTCTTGAACATCTGGCGCGGCAACGATCGCGCTGACTATGGCTAGACCGTCTAGCTGTTTTGAAGGCGTATGAGATTGGTATAGCACTCGTTGGAGGTTTGAGGCGTTTATGCCGCCAATGCAGACTGTTTTGATGTCTTGGTGCTCTTTTGATTGTTCACTGAGGTGTGATAGGATGTCGCGCAGGCCGTGGACTCCTAGGATAGACTTTGTGTTCTCTTTTCTATTAGATGGTGAGAATTAAACTCTTATATCTCTCAAAGATATGCGACATATGCTGTTGACATATATGTCTTACTAAGACGGGAAATTGAAAGTTCGTGAGTAGACTAGAAGGTAACCTACGTCGGAGTTGCGAATACAGTCCCAATTCCAAGATAGTCTGCACCATCTCGGACAGCTTTGTCTGCTTCTTCAATAGAAGAAGCTGTGACTCCTATAATTTTATTGGGTCCAAGAAGCCTCCGAGCAGTTGTAACGTCTAGTCCGGTGTAAGCACTTCCGAGTATGAACGAGGCTTGACATCCTAACCCATATCATCCTGACCGATATGGACGCCGGCACAATCAATAGCCAAAGCAACATCGATACGATCGTTGATTAGCAGCGGTACGCCATGTCCACTGCAAATGCTGAGTAGCTTCTTCGCAGTCTCGATAGCCGCGCCACTGTCGGCAGTTTTGTCTCGATACTGGACCAATGTCACACCTACGGAACAGTCAAAAAGGTGAATAGAGCGCGATTCATTCGGAGCTTGCCTCCTAAAATAGACTCCGAGACAACATGGCACAGGTCCCGTTGGCCAAGAATAGCCGCAGTGGAATCCGTAACAAGATAGAGAGAGTAATCCACCGTCAGCGCCATCCTGGCAGCTGAACTCAACTACGGGATACACGACTCGTTGCTGGGTGTTTGCTTGGCTTCAGACTGGATTCCAGAAGTGTTGCACCCGTCACAGTGACGTTCTGGAGAAGTGATGATGGGACGAGAGGTGGATAGAACGACGTCCAATCACTGGACAACTTCGGGACAGGGACCGACAGAATCTTCTGCGCCAGGAGAGCACGAATCGCCCCAGTCTGTCTTGAAGCGTATATTCGAAGGAGGAAGTCCGTCCGGCAGAAATGGAACCTTACTGTTGAGAACTAGCGATTCTAGTCACTGCAAAGCCGCTTGGAAACTGCAGGTGAACCCCAAACTGTAGTTCTCTCACGTGAAGCACGTAAGATTGACAAAGTCTGGCAAGTATATTGCTCTACAAAGGGCTTCCACTGTATTCTCTGAGATGGTGTTATTCTTTTTGTGGCCTTTAGCATTGTTGCAACCACAAACGCACCTCGACTGGCCCAAAAACTGCAACGTCAATTATTGACACCTGTAGAAAAAGCAAGCTGTCTTCTGGGGTCAGCCTGGCGGGGGTTCTGCGGCACACAGCAATATTCATAGCGTCGTGGTCGCGCCGGTGTGGCCGCCACACAGAGGGAGCGGTGCTTGAGCCGGGGGGCTCTCCTGCCGCTTTCTCCGTCGACGTCTTTTAAAGCCGACCTTCCTCGAAAACCTTTCCTCCTCCACCACCGCGCACCCTGCACAACAACCATCCATATCGGCCTACAAACTGCGTGCAATCATCACTGACGCCTACTGCAACCACCCCCGGCTCTGCAATACCGCTTCCACTGCCTCTCCACGCCCCGCACTCCGAGCAGCCCGCCCGCGTTCTGCTCCCAAACCGCCACCTCACCCCCAAACCTCACCACCACACATCCCATCAGAGCGCAATCGGACATTTGCTGTATATGTATTCGCGCCAAAGCCACGCTTTCCGACACGATCCGCCGCCGAAGCTGCAAACATTTCGCAGAACGCGAAAACCGTGCAGTAATCACCACTGCACCAACGGCTAGCCGTCTCTGCGCATCCGCCAGGACACCCGCGATTCCCAGATCAACACCATAGCGTGCATTTACTGCATGTCTTTGACAGCTTCTTTCAGCCTACCTCCCTTGCGTTCCCAGCTCCTGCCCCCTCTTTCGCGTTAAAAAGACCGTCAACTACCCAACCGCAACCATGGCTACCGTCAACGTCCGCCGGGATGTCACCGATCCCTTCTACCGCTACAAGATGGAACGTATCCAGTCCAAGATCGAGGGCAAAGGAAACGGCATCAAGACCGTCATCGTCAATTTGACTAGCGTTGCTCAGTCTCTGGCCCGCCCCCCATCCTGTAATACCACCGCACTCAGTCAGTATGTCGATATCCGCTAACACTTATCTTAGACGTAATCAAGTACTTCGGTTTCGAGCTCGGTGCTCAGACCAACACCAATCCTAGCGACGACCGTTGGATCATCAACGGCGCTCACGATGCTGCCAAACTCCAGGATTACCTCGATGGCTTCATCACCAAGTTTGTCCTCTGCAAGAAGTGCAAGAATCCCGAGACAGATGTACAGATCAAGGACGGCCACATCACGCTCGATTGCAAGGCTTGTGGTCAGCGCTCCGATGTCGACCTTCGTTTGAAGCTCAGCTCGTTCATCCTCAAGAACCAGCCCAAGAAGGGAAAGAAGGACAAATCTACGAAGAAGGCCGACCGTCGTGCCAGGAAGGAAGCTGGGGGCCAAGATGGCGACGAAGAATCCCGCAACGGAAACAGCCCCGGCGACAGCAACTCGGACAATGCGGAAGAAAACGGCGAAGTCGAGCTCGACGCAGGCAGCGATGACGAACTTACCCGTCGCATCAACGCCGAAGCCAAGGATATTGGCGAAGTTGACGATGTCAAAGAAGTGCAGTGGTCCGTCGATACCTCTGAAGAGGCTGTCAAAGCACGAGCCAAGGACCTCCCTGATGACCTGAAGCGCGCCCTCGTCGTTGGAGACGACGATGAGGAAGGTGCCAACGGAGAAGGCAGCACTTACGATGTTTTCGGTAAATGGATCGTCGACACTGCCGATGAGAAGGGTGGAGTGACCAAGGTCGCAGACGTCGACATTTACCTGAAGGCAAAGGATCTAGGCATCGAGACCAAGCACAGGACTCTTACCGTCCTAGCCCAGACTCTCTTCGATGACAACATCGTCAAGCAGATTGAGCCTCGCGCTGGTATGCTCAAGAAGGTACGACATGTATTTGCTCTTTTTTGTCGAATAGGAGGCTAATGTAGTTCAGATGATCACTTCCGAGCGCCACGAGAAGGCCTTCCTTGGCGGCACTGAACGCTTTGTCGGCAAGGAGAAGCCTAAGCTCATCCCCCAAGTGTCTGCTATCCTGCTTAAGTTCTACGAGAACGACCTCATCTCTGAGGAAGTTCTTAAGGCCTGGGGCTCCAAGGCTAGCAAGAAGTACGTCGATCTTCCGACGAGCAAGAGCGTCCGCAAGTCGGCTGAGCAGTTCATCACCTGGCTCGATGAGGCCGAGTCGGATGAAGAGAGCGACGACGAGTAGTCATAAAAGTTTCAGATCTGATATGACTGCGCTTCGGGCAAGGACATTACCTGGTCAGCTTGTCTGCCTAGGAAAGGTCTCCGCATCGTGCTTATCGACGGGTAGCTGTGTGGCAGTTGCATTGGTTTCTCATTGCTTGCTTAGGATGCCTATTTGGTTGTCTGTGCTTTTAAAAGGTCTGCTTTTCTGTTTCTGCTTCAATGGGCGTGTGGTAAACTCACCTCCAGTGTTTGCACTGATGCGTTAAAAGGTCCATTCCACTCATACAAATTGATATATTTTTGCGAGTGGTCTTGTCGCGTGAACTACCTATGGATGCAAAACTCTGACTCCAACGCTAGGGATAAGTATGGGCTGGGCGAATTGAGTGGGTTTTTAGGGCCTCGACTAGGGCAAGTGGCTTAGTGTTGGCGAGTTTCTCGCCCGTTCTACGTGCAGGTATCAGCTCGAACAGGCCCATCACGACAGGCACCAGGCTTTTCTCTCATACCCAGGTGCGGAGTATCGTTGTTATAGCCGTTATGCTCCGACTTTCTCATAGGCGGAACGGCCACGGCGCCGCCGAGACCTGTTCCCAAGGCCGCAGCTTAATGCATGCACCGCCACACGCGCAGCTCAGGCAGCTACCCGTTGTAGGTTCTCGTCATATCTTCTCTTTAAGATTTAAAAATTCCCCCTCAATATACGCATGCTTTCTCGAACTGCCTATTTTCTTAAGTGGGGATGGCTTTCTCTTCCCATGAATTCTTCCCTTCTGGCAGTGCTCAGTTTTCAACGTCACAATCGCAACCACTTTTACCCGACTTCCAATGCTTCATGGACTCATCATCGCACGACGCCAATACTAGCGATGCGGCAAATGCTTCGAATGATTATCTTGCGATTTGGGGTCTTCATGATGGCATGGCGACAGATGCCTACAATGGCCCATCAACAAATGAATTTTTGCAAAGCAGCATAAACCCAGATGGCGCATTTCAAGCCCCAGCAATCACCCAGGATACTCTGTGGAATTTCCAGGACAATCCATATCCCATCCATACATTGGATCCTGCCATGTCTACATTCGACGAGCCGTGGATCAGCCCTTACATCACCGATGAGTTCTCAACTCATCCAGTAGATATCAATCAGACAAGGAATGAAGAAGCCCTTTCTCAAAACCCCGCAGCACAGGACCACAACATCCAGCCGATATCAGAACTTCTCTATGACAATCTCCACGAAATCCCTGCCCCCCCAGTGACGCGAGATGTAAATGAACGGCTTTCCCGACGTAAGCATAGGAGGGCTACAAAGATATCGCACGATGCTCGAAGAGTCCTAGAAGCGCACTTCGCCCGGAACCAATATCCCTCAAATGAGGACGTATCTCGACTGATGCGGTTCACATCTCTAGCCCCCAAAACAGTTAAGAACTGGTTCAACAATACCAGAGCGCGCATCAATCCGCAACCTGCACCAATCAATTCGCAACGTACGGCCTCATATCCGAATCTCAACCAGCAACTAACATCAGACCGAGGTATTCCGTCCTCGATTACAGTTGAACATGAGGAAAGGAGCAACGAGATATGGAAAGGCGACACTGCGCGGTCTGCCAAGACAGAAGCCGACGATGCCTCCGTTACTTCGGGGTGCTCAAGCTCTTTCTCGCTCGACAGGTATTTGACAATGCCTCTTGACGAAGAACCCGCGAGCACTTCTGCGATCCAAACCGCCATCGAAACGCAGACTCCCGACATCGCCCCTGGATATTGGGACTTATCTGGCACCTGGCGCGCCGTTGAACACGTAGTTCCAGTCCCACAGCCCGCGAACGGAGCCATCCCAAACAACACCAACCCAGAAGACATCGATGAGAGCCGCTCCGACTTCGCCAGCTCCGCAGGCTCTGCAAACTCCAACCTCTCCGTCGCTAGTCGCGGCAGCCGGTCTCGTCGTCGAGGCCGAAGACGGTATCAAAAAGACCCCTACGACGCAACGAAATCCGACAGCAAACGTCCCCAAACCAACAAAGACCCCGCGCAGAATCTAACGAAGTACTGCTGCACATTCTGCGGCAACAAGTACAGGACTCTCTACGACTGGAAGCGCCACGAGGAATCCGTGCACACGTCTCCTGTAACTTGGGTTTGCCTGGGCGACTACCAACCCGGCGACTATGAGCCTCACCCGAACCAGCCGTACAAAGAATGTCCATTCTGTCCGGAAACCCGCGCAGATGCGGAGCACATGGCTACACACAACTGGACCGAGTGTCTCGAGAAAGCAGAAGAAGACCGCACCTTCACGCGCAAAGATCACCTGAAACTCCACATCAACAAGAAACACCTGAAACGCGGTGAAGGGACGCGGAGCGACATCCAAGACGTACTAAATAGATGGGCGCGGCAAGCGACCCCGTATAAACGCGAGGATCCGGAGATGCATTGCGGGTTCTGCGGATGCCGGTTCGACGAGTGGGCGAAGCGGGTTGAACATGTTGCGGAGCACTTCAAGGGGGGTGCAGGGCTGGAGTGCTGGTGGCCTGGAAGGAGGGAAATTTTGGTTAGATCGAGGTTTGTTGACTCCTCTCGTAATCTGTTGGCTTGTGTGTTGGATAGAAGACTTACTTGCCGTAGGCGTCATATTAATCTCCCCCACTGGTCCTGCAGAAATCTGCCTGGGCCCGGTACGCTCTTTGCAAAGGCTGAGCATGCTTCCACAGAGACGGAGATCCGTTACGCATGCCACCTCTGTGGCGCCGACGTGCAGGAGGCTGAAGAGGATGACTTTTTTAATCGACAGTTGCACCTTGAGATGCACAACTACCGGAACTGTCCCCAGTATATGCTGCACAAACCGGAAAGTCTTCTGCTGCACCTGAAACAGGACCACAGATATCAGACCCTAGGACACGGTACTGCAAATGAGCAGCTCGTACTAGACGCGTATTTGAGCGATGAGGGGATGCTGATAGAGCGGAGCGCGAGCCCACCGTGTAAGCCGTTGCAGCGGTGGACGGAGCGGTGAAGTGAATGCAGGCCAGAGTGACACAGACGTAGAGGCAAAGTTCAGTTCAGAGGTCGCGAGAAGAATCTCTCCAAAGTGTAACTATCTTGTATTTGCTTGTCGTCACTATATATCCTTCCGTCGTTCAAGCTCAGCAACTCCCGTCGCCCTCTCCATCCCAATCCATCATCCCCTGTCCCCCTAAACAATCGCATTCGGCTTCTCACGGCGCCTCCTCGCCGTCCCAATCCCCGCAACCCCCTCCGCCTGATCCTCGCCCAACCACGGCTTCTCCGCCTCGCCCAGCATACTCTCCGTCATGAAGTAAAACACATGCCCGATCAGGATGAGCACAAACGCAATCGGATACATCCAGTGGATCTTCAGCCCAAACACCTTGACGCCAATCGCGACGCCCCAGAAATTGCCCGTCAGCAGCGAGATGTTGAAGAAGGCCGCGCTGCTCAGCCGGAACAGGATCGGCGCCAGCGAGTAGAAAATGAAAAGCACGAGGGTGTAGCCGACGAGGTAGCCGCCCACGGGCCCGTTCCACGTCGCGTCCCGGAAGCTCTGGCGGTCGAAGATGCCCGCTTGGGTGCCGTTGATCATCATGCCCCAGAAGGCGAGCTGGCCGATGACCTCGTACATGGGCTTCTTGGACACGAGGAACTCCTCGAAGCAGTTGCTGAGGCCGTAGAAGGAGGCGCCGAGCAGGGCGAACAGGTCGCCCTTGAGCTGGTTGGAGGCCGGGTAGTTATTGTTGCCCGTGATGTGGTCGGAGCCGAAGAGGATGCCCATGCCGCCGATGCAGAGGATGATGCCGAGGTATTGGGTGATGTGGTAGCGGACACGCAGGAAGATGAGGGACATGATGACGACGACGACGATGGCCCAGAAGTTTATGAGTTGGGCGGAGAGGATGGTGGTCTGGGGGTGTGTTAGTGGGGGAGTAATGGGAGTAATGGGAGTAATGGGAGTAATGGGAGTAATGGGAGTAATGGGAGTAATGGGAGTAATGGGAGTAATGGGAGTAATGGGAGTGAGAGTGATGAAGGACTTACGTAGCGGTAGGCTAGAACGACAAAGTAGTTCCCTTCCACGTCCATGAATGCTAGGATAAAGTACCTCCATCCATCTCTGAGGACTATCTGTCCCCATTTCTTGAAACCGTACTTGTATAGGGTCCAGCCGGTGTAGACGATATTAAGCAATACGTAGTTAAAGAAAGTCTGGAAAGCTGGGATGCTGGTCCCTTGCATAGAAAGAAGCTGAGAGAAGGTGTTCGTGCTCGTGATGCAGATGGAGAGGACCTGCCTGTAGTATCATTAGCAGTGCTCCCAAAATGACATTTCTTCCACCATTTTTGACGATGCATGGTCCAACATCCACCTGACTTTAGTGTAAAGAACTTACCCAAGCAGCAACACAATCCAGAAATCCTTCGTTTTCAAATAATTGAACCACTTTCCCTTCCCCTTCATCTCACGTCCATCGTCAGTAGGCGCACCATCCTCGCCCACCAACTCAGGCACGCCATGACCGTTGACAGCCTGCCCATTTCCAGAGCCGCTGTCGTCGGAGATGTCGCTGCCCTTAGGGCGGACATGCATGGTAGAATCGACCTGCTCAACAGGCCCAATATCGATGTCTTTGCCCATGACGGCGGCAGAATTATGCTGCTCCATTGCTCGTAGCGCGGTGTCTTACAGCCGTAGATTCGTATTTCCGAATTCGTAATCTAGTTCAGTCGCGCACGTCAACGAACCGGAGGTGTAGTTGGAGCTTTTCAAACACAAAGTGAGCGCAAAACTCCCGAAGTCGCTCACTGAGAAATCCGCAGTTGCAGAGCAAAAGTTGCGATAGCGTAGCAGCGAGAAAGGCGGGGACATGGCCCCATTTATGTATGGTGCCGCTCGCCGCTGCAACCCTCAATTCCACCAAGGGCGGGCCGCGAAAAAAACATTTACAGCTTGGCAGACCACAGCCGTTGGCCACACAGCGCCCTATGCTGCCGATCGGTGCAGCGCTTGACGCAGAGCGGTTTGGCTGCAGCGCTGCGGGGCGCGCCGACCGCCTGGATTGCGGTGGGTAGGCGACGGTGCAGGTCTGGCCGAGGGTGTAGTTGCTTTTTTGGAGACCTTTGGGAATTGATTAGCTATCTGGTGGGTGCGGATGACCTCTTCTTACCTTTGTGGGGCCCTCTTCGACCTCTTGTGCGAGCAACATCCAGAGAGTACTGTGTTAGAACAGATGGAACTCTCGGGTTTGAAGTTGTGAAAGACACCCGTATATTTCTCGAGATGACTATTTCTAATGGCCTGATTTAGGTTGTGCTCCGAAAACATGCCACGGTCAAGTCTATATCACATGGACTGGCTCCTAATCATGCTTCTTAGAGCATAGTCGACCTACTCCCAGGACCTGATTTACAGTGTGCCAAAAACATGCCAAAATCGAGGCTAAATCACACAGACTGGCTCCCGTTTGTACATCTTAAAGTACTACAATTTACCCCGACTTTATAGCACGTGTAGCAATGATGAGCCAAAAAGTAGACCAAATCGTACGGACTGGCTCCCGTTCATGCTTCTCAATCCACTATCAGTTGTCTTAAAGCCAGGGTCTAATTTGGACTGTCACGAATATGACATTGATATGATGTTCTAAACCACAGCGTGTGTTGTGAGGACGTTGACCTGACGTTTTAGATATCAGAGCCCAACTTTTCGCCCACGCTTTCGCCCAAATTCACCCTTATTCCCATACGCTTTGTGCCCCCCAGGCGAGTCCTTCGTAACATATACACCATGTTCGTCGCACCAAGTTCATCTTGTCTCCTCCCTCCGCGTACTCTTCCTGGGAGTCTTTCGTAACATATACCCTATGTTCATCTTATCAGATCCCTCCCCTCTGCATGCCTCGCCCCCTCCCTCTCCACCTATATCTTCGCCAAAGCCTGCAACGCATCGTTCGTAGTCCCACTCGTATCCTTGACCAACTTCGCTATCGCCCTAAACTCCTCAATTCCCGCGTCGCCCATGCATTCATACAGCCAGCTTTCGCTTGTCGTCACCACCGCGCCCTCGGCTCGCAACCTTGCTAGCGCAACGGGTATCTCTTCTTTGTTGCAGCTGCTGACGCCATCGGCGAGGATGTAGACCTTGTGGCCTTCACGCAGCAGGTCGAGTGTGGTTTGCGTAACGCAGATATGCGATTCGATGCCAACGATGACGCATGAGAGCGGGGTGAAGAGCTTTGAGAGGACTTCCCGAACCTCAGGGGTCCACATGGAGAAGAGGGTTTTGTCGGCATGGATAAGGGTGGTAATGCCTTCCGGGGTGTCGAGGTTGAGTTCGGCGCATGTCTCGCCTAGACGGGCGCGATTCTGGGTTGTGGCGATTACGGGGATGTTAAGGATTTTGCCTAAGAGGTAAAGCTGTAAGTGTTTCTGTTCTCGAAAGCTGCGGGAGACTTTGTGGTGCGATGTCGGGAAGTGATGTAGTGGCACATACTCGCTTTCAGCATCTTCTGTGTAGTCGAAATAACCTTGGGGAATTCATGGATTGGAGACCGGAACTTCTCCTGCAGGTCGCAGATACTGGAAAAGCATCAGCGGCGGCATTTTGCTGTAATTGAGGAAGTTCTGTACAAAAGGGCGGGGTTGGCTGCCAGGTATTGTGAGCACTGCTCGTGAAGTTTGTGCCATTGAAAGCTTACTCAATCGTTTTCCTGGTTTAGACATGGTGCTATATGCGTGAATAAGTTTGGAAGGCTGCGCTTGAAGTGTGACGCGCAGTCGATGATGCATTGCGGAGGTGTACCTCGGACGAGGGGAGTGAATGGATGTGGGGGTCGGCTTCCTCGCCCGCCGTAGCGCGCACGTGATTTACGGCGCAACTGGTCGACGTGGCCAGCCGTATCCCCGCTTCCCGTCTTTGTGGAAGATTGATGGAAGAACAAATGGAAGCCGGCGCTCACAGTAATTACACACATACGTCGTCCGGCACCGGGGAGGCCGAATTGATGGCCAATATGCGCGCATACAACAGGACGGGTGCCGGGAGTGGTCTGAGAGTCCAGCTACCGTTTCTCCACGATCTGGGGAATTAATCGCCGTCTCGAAGACTTGTTCGTGCCACTATGCGGCCGGAAGCACGGGAGGGCCCTTGGCCGCCATGCTGCCCGCTGCAGGAACTGAAGCTGTGGCGGATGGCGACAACAGGCGGTAGAGCCGCAGAACAGCCCCTAGGCAAGCAGAAGACTGCGGCGCTGAGCACGCTGCTCGATGGCACCGCAGCTCATGCGGTCTCTGGCGTCTGACATGCTACGGAGGCTGCTGCCAGTGTCCAGTGTCCAGCACAGTACCATGTATGTCCCAGCATGGCCCGTCTTGCCTCAGCTCTGCTCTCAGCGCTGCCGGGTGAGGGACCCCCTCCCCCCAGCGCCCTGGGTCAGCGATTGCTATTGAGAGACATCTGTACAACGGCGGTGGCATCAGCTGGGGTGAGATCCGAGGCCTGACGGTCCCCGTGGCGCGCCGGGCGTCTCTGGTCTCATTGTCGCCGGAGGACGCGGTGGGCCTTCTTTGAGTCGTGGAGTGAAAGGCGTGCAGCGCGCAGCAGTAGTGAGCAGCAACGGAACGCGGGGACAGGCGGCAGCGGTAGATAGGACGATGCTGAATGGCCCGGGGCGCGCGCTCGCGGTTCCTGGGCGCAAATTAAAGTGCGATGTATGGAGCGACTACCTACCTCAAGAGCTGGCTCCATCGCAGCGAAGCGAGGAGAGGTCTATCGACCACCTGCATCCCGACTCCACCGCCGAACTGCACCCTCTCGACTTGCTCCTCGCACCTCACCACGAGCCCCTCCGCCTTGCTCGCTCCCCTCCCGTGCCCCATCTCTCTTTTGCCATTGTTTAGCACGCATTGCTGCCACGCCGTCCCCGCCGCAGCGTCTCTCGTCACCACCAATGACCGCGCCTTGAGCAGGGGCAACTAGCAGAAGAAGCACACCGCGACGTGGAATTGCACAGCGCCCTCTCTCTTCGTGCTACACCGTCTCGCCCCCGTCTCCGTCCCCGCCCGCTCTGCCTCTCCACGCCGCCCTGTCTGCTGTGCCTGTGAGGTGCTTCTTGGTCGACCGCCCCTCTTCTGCTCTGCGGCGATCGCGACCTTCTTTTCGTACCACATAGGTTTATGGGGGGATCACGACACACTGAATCCGGCTCAGAATATCTCTACTACCCTCAGAAAGCTTCCTTCGCCTTTCACGAGACACCGCCCGCCGCCGCCCACCGCGCGGCTCAGGAGTCGGCGCCCGCGCTCCTTTGCCCACCCTCCAGCAACCTCCTGCAATCACCACACCCCACGCTCCTCCTAAACCCGTTAGTGAGTTTGGTTCACCTCAACAACTTCTACCAGAAGTACCAACTCGTCACGCAACCTCCAACCGGCATCGTGTCTCAGCATCCCCCCAACCCGAACGCCGAGCGGGACCTCACTCGCAACGGCGCTAGGAAACAGCCAGTCAAGTCTGCTCAATCGCGACAGAAACTCAATGGGAATAACAGTAGCAAGACACCAGTACACGCTGGCGGAGTGCCGATGACGCCCGTTGACGCTTCCGGAATGGGGAGCATACGAGAGGAGGAGTATCCGTACCCGCTCTCTCAACGACCCTCCATTGTGTCCCACAATTCCAGCTCTGTTCCATCGACCCCACACCAATATCCGCGAGAATTTGTCTCACGATCCAGGTCACCTTCACCAAATGGCGGTCTGGGGAGCCATTCTCCGCGGTCTGTCTCTTCCGAAGCAAACGGACACCTTCCCACTTTGCGGAAACCTCGGCAAGGCTGCAAGTATGAGACCAACGTCGCCTTCGGGAGGAGACGCATCCCATATACTTCATCGGATACACTAGAAAAGGCGAAAGAAGAGCCAAAGAAGGCCTTGGACCCACATGAGGAGAAGAAGCTAAGCGGCGACATGAGGGAACTCTACGACCGGATATTACCAACTCCTGAGAGCGAGCAGCGGAGAGTGAAGTTTGTGCAAAAGCTGGAGAATCTTCTGCGCCGCGAGTGGCCTGGATACGAATTCAAGGTCCATGTATTTGGTTCGTCGGGCAACTTACTATGCACTAGCGAATCGGACGGTACGTTTTCATATGTCAACCCACCTCTCGACCTTGGAAAGAATGAGGCTAATTCGGCGTTAGTGGACGTCTGCATCCAGACACCCATGAAAAAGTTAGAGTCGATGCATATACTGGCCGAGGCTCTCGCCAAACGTACGTTTGTTAAGGTCTCCTTTGCTCATAGATGGCAGGCTACGAATTTTGCTAACACCGAGAGAAGATGGCATGGAAAAGGTCGTCTGCGTTCCTTCGGCGAAGGTCCCAATTGTGAAAATCTGGGACCCAGAATTGCAGTTGGCGTGTGATATGAACGTCAACAATACCATGGCTTTAGAAAATACGCGCATGATCAAGACATACGTCCAGATTGATGAGCGAGTACGACCGCTCGCAATGATCATCAAATACTGGACCAAACAGCGCATTTTGAACGATGCTGGTGAGTAGGGGTAGTCTATGAGTCTTACTTCTCCTTCTGACGAACAATTCAGCCCTTGGCGGTACTATCAGCTCGTACACCTGGATATGCATGATCTTAAACTTTCTACAGACACGAGATCCTCCTATATTACCTTCCCTCCATCATCTTCCTTACCGGAAAGCAATCAAGGAGACTGGCGAGCAGTCAGACTTTGCTGACGACCTAGAAAAGCTGCAAGGATTTGGCCATGAAAATAAAGAAACTGTGGGGCAACTTCTGTTCCATTTCTTCCGACGTTATGGACATGAGATTGATTACGAAAAGTCGGTCATTTCTGTGCGGCAGGGCAGGCTATTGTCGCGAAAAGAAAAGGGTTGGGATCTGGACAGTTTGACTCGAGAGGCCCGAAACCGCTTGTGTGTTGAGGAGCCATTCAATACCTACCGGAATCTTGGAAATTCGGCCGATGACTTTGCATGGAGAGGGATTCATCTGGAGCTTCGGCTTGCGTTCACTCTACTCGCTGATGGAGGTCAGCTGGACAAGGCTTGCGAGCAATATGAGTTTCCCCCGGAAGAAAAGGTTGTTTTCAAGCGGCCAACACCAGCCCCGAAGCCAATTCTGACCAGTAGTACGCCGGCTGGGAGGGGCGGTCGGGGCGGAGCTGGGCAACGTGGAGGCCGTGGAAGCTTCCACCAAAAGAATAGCCAGTATCAACGACGAGCTTCGAGTGGCGCATCGTTTAACAATGGCCGGCCGCCATTCCTTCACAGCCCTCCTATCGGCGTCAACGGACAAGTTAATGGACAGATCAATGGGCAAGATTACTTTGTTCGTGGATTGAACGACCAGCTTCACGACCAGCTTTATCAGCAATACCAGCTTCTGGAGATGCAATCAAATTCATTAAGAGCTCAATTGATGGCACAGCAACGAGCACAGCAACACGCACATATGCAGGCGCATGCCATCAACCAAGTTCAGGCTCAGGCACAACAAGCTCGAGGACAGTTGGCGAATGGCTCTCCACAGAAGTCGCCTTACATGAACGGCAGGTCGAGTCCGCGGACCTCCGAAAGCATGCCTACGACTGGAGCCATACCTCCTTCCTTGCTTCTCTATCATTACCCCGGCTACTATGATTTCAACCATTCTATGGCCTCATCGACTTCCCAGGATGGATCTAGGACAAACCCGTCGTCTCCGTCGCTTACGAGCAGTATCCCTGGGCTTCGGCGTGGTGTACATCGGACGTCGGCTGCCAGCGACACGGGCTCAATTCGTTCGCAGTCGCAACCTGCTCGTACTGTGCCTAATTCGCAGCTACCAACGGGTTATCCTCCGCCTCCCTACCCCGAACCAAATGCCTTTGCTGGCTATCCTATCGCTCGTTCTACGGTAGATGCGGCTCCTAATCAGTCGAGCACAGAGCCGCCTTACAGTCCAATGACAACTTTCCCTGAGAGTGCCGTGTCATCAGATCATGGTACACCGAAAGAATACGTAGGATACTATGTTCATGATTCTCCAAAGATTCCTCCAGAGGTACCGGACTACAGCGTCCCGCAGATACCGTCGTATAGTGAGCTTGCGCAGCGTCGACGAAGGGTCTCTCCAGAAATCGTGCAACCATTGTTGAACAGTACCTTGAGGCGGGTATCACGGTCTCCATCACCACTCTCTGGGCATCTTCGAAGCTATTCAACTGGTGTGACCCCGCCGTTGGGGCCAAAACCTCAGCAGCGGATAGGTCGTGGCGACTTGACCCCGACCCCCGAGGGCGAGGGCCTAGTAATTGCGAATGGCTCGTATCCTACGAAACCGCGAGAGACACGAGCTATGAGTGAATCTGTCGATATGACCAACACTGACACGACCTCTAAAGACCCATCTGCCCTAGGAATTTACATGCCTACCGGAGAGCAGTACCGGTTCCCGACTTCTTCCGAGCAGAGGCAACAACAGCTCTACGCAGATGCGCTGTTACAACGTCACAATGCGGCAGAGTTTTCACGATCCGAAATGTCCAATGGCGTGGGAGCCATATCTTCGGCCGACCCAAATACCCTGACACGTGTGCCTTCTGGTCCAAGACAGCCATTCCCGCAACTTCCGGAGCCCTTACTCAATCACTATGGCTCTCTTAATGGAGACAGCACTAGTGATTCAGCAGACGTCTCTCCAACACGTAACCAGCAGCAATGGCGGGGCGGCCAACTCCCTAACGGGATAAGCCCCCTGGATACGAAGGCTTTAAGAGCCCCGCCGCAAGAAATCAAATCTGCCGGCTTACCGTTGCTATCGCCAGTCTTCGAGACTCGAACACCTTCACCTACCGTCAGCCGCCAAATGGAGATTGCGAAACAGCAACTCCTGAACGGAACTATGCCGACGAGTAAAGAAAATCAGCAACCGCTGTCGTTCCGAGCTGCGCAAAATTCGAAAGAGGCTAAAGCCGGTCAACCCAAGAAGGACCCTCCACCCAACGACAAGTCGAATAGGGGAAGCCCAAGTGACAAAAACCAGTCTGGAACTTGGCAACAGTCTAACTCCCAGAAACGGCGGAAAAAGCAATCCAAGTCGGCCACAAATCAGAAGCAGGGTATTGAGACAAAGCTACAGGGCGAGCCCCTACCCGTCAACGAAGCTGACAGAAAGGGAGGCTGAGACGTCATCCTATCCCGCCCGTTTCTGGACTGCGAGTATTGAGTGTTGTTGGTGAACTCCATTAACAGTAGCTTTTGGCAGCACTGGGAGTGTTTCGCAAACACTATATACTTGTTCCTGGTTTCGTTGGATGTTTCAGTGACCGGTACATATCTTACGGCACCTATGGTGCTTGTACGCTTTGCCTACAGAGTGGTTTGGATTTGGGTGCACGATCTCGCTGCCACTGATACGGGAGTTTGGGCTACATCATTATCCGTCAGATCGAGCGACATGATAGGTACGGGAATGCGTTGGCACGATATATTATGGGGACGTCAGGATAGCAGAAGAAACTACCTGGAGACATTCGGAGCTGTTTTCGGGCAAGGACTTTTCCAAGAAAAGTATTCGATCAAGCGAGGCAACGATTATGCTTGCATTACTTGGGACACAACAGTATGCTTTTTTACCTTTCCATTTTCATTCTCTCCTTTCCCACCAAAAGGCAAAGCAAGCGGGTCACAGGGTCTGTTTTTTCGGGTTTCTGGGTCTGAGCTTTTGTTTCTGTTTACGGGTTTTTTTGACAAACTTTGTGTTTTTTTTGTCAAGCATGTTTGGGATTCACTCTCTTTCCTCTTTTTTGTGATGTTGCTCTGGACGCAGCTCTACTCTTTTCTTCGGTCTTTCTGCATCTGGCATTGAGGTGGAGTTTTGAGTGCGTTGTTTTTTTGTTGCTGGTGCTCTTGCTGTTGTGTCCTTTTTTGTGTGTGAGTTTGGAAGGATGGTCCCCCCGGAATGGCAATGGATATGGGCATTTTTGCATGTATAGATAGATGAGGTTCCGGTAGGCGCTCCCCCTTTGTGTGCCCGGTATTTGGGAACCAGGGGTACGAGCGGCAGAAAAAAATGAAAGAAAAATCGCAATAACCCTTTGGTACCGCGTTTGTTATGGAGATGGATGCAAGAGGTGGGCTAGCCAGTCTCGAGATTTATCGATCGCGCTCCATTTGAGTGGTCTATTGGAAAGGAAGAAGAGTCTAAGATGAAAGAATCAAAGTCGATGAAGCACGCAACAACAGATCCGTTGCAACTCCACCGAAGCTCACCACCGCACCGGACCAATCACTTCTTCGCAAACCTCACCCTCTCCTCCAACACACTCCTCGCCATCTCCAACTGCTCATCCGTCTTGCAAATCAGCGTCTTATACCGCGCCCCCTCCGCCCCAATACTCGTCACCACCCCGTCCCCCGGCTTCTCATTCCGCGTCTCATCAATCTCAAACCCCAGACACCTCACCTGCCGCACGACCTCGGCCCGCAACCGCGCGCCGCGCTCGCCAATCCCGCCCGCAAACACCAGCGCATCCACCTGCCCATCCAGCTTGACGAAGTAAGGCGCGACGAAGTTGACGATACGGTCGGCGAAGATGTCAAACGCGAGCTGGCACTCGGGCGCGGCGCTGGCGGAGATGGCGCCGAAATCCGTCGTGCCCGTCAGCGCCTGCCAGCCGCTCTTCTTGTTGAGGATCTCCTCGGCGGTGGTGATGTGCATCTTCTGCGTGCTGCTGCGCGAGGGCTTGCCCGCGTCGTGCGTGAAGTGGAATATGAGGCTCGGGTCGATGCTGCCGCTGCGCGTGGCGCCCGGCAGGCCGGCCAGCGGCGTCAGGCCCATGGAGGTGTCGTGGCTTTTGCCGTGCTTGATGCACGTGGCCGACGCGCCGGAGCCGAGGTGCAGCGCGATGATGTTGAGGGAGGCGGCGGGCTTTTGGAGGTACGCGGACACGGCGGACACAATGAAGGCGTACGAGATGCCGTGGAAGCCGTATTTGCGGAGTTGGTTGTGGGCGGCGATTTTGGGGTCGATGGGGTACGTGCTGATGTGGGTAGGCAGGGTCGAGTGGAAGCTGGAGTCGAAGTAGGCGATGTTGGTCGCGTGGGGGAGGAGGCTGGAGACGGTGCGGACGATGGTGAGGGCGCCGGCGTTGTGTCTGTCGTGATGGGTGAGTGGGAGTTTTGGGGGGTTAAGAGAGGTGAGAAATGGGGCGATAGAGGACGATAAAAAGCTTCAATTCATTGAGAGGTAGAGAATTGGGAAGACACCAGGAGGTCGGTGATGGTGTCGAATTGATAGCAGGCTGTGATCGGGCAGAGAAAGAACAAGATATCGTGAAAGATGAACGGAATTGATAGAAATGAGGAGTTTACTCACAGTGGCGCCAAATCTGACAGTTCCTCAATGTGATGGTACGTATCTTCATCGATGACTTGTGAGTTTGGATAGTTTCCACCGTGAACAACCCGATGGCACGTGAACTTGATGTCCTCCTTTTGGCTGAGCTGCGGGAGACCCTTATCCTGGGTTAAGTGATCCAGAATGTACCTGAAGGCGTCTTCCTGGGATTCTATTCCTTCCAACTCTTTCCCTTTGACCTTCTCGTCGCCTCTTTCGTACTTTAGTGTTGCGGGAGGGGCTGTGAGGCCTTCGACTGAGGCCTCCGCCAGCTGCGTCGGATCGCCGGATTTGTCATTGGCTTGATAGACGGAGATCTTGACGGAGGATGAACCTGCGTTGATGGAGAGGATGATTTCTGGCATTCTGGTAATCGTTCCTTCTGTGTCGTGGTGATCACGATGAGAGGATATAGTGTTAGAATAGTGAAGTCGAGGGCAGTCGTGAAGAGAAAGGCGGCCTCAAGTTCGGGAGCAGCTTTTTAAAGATTCGTCAATTGTAGTGACGTGATGCAGTAACATCAATAATCACTTCTATCGTGTCTCGCGCGGATGTGGGATCTGTGAGACTTTGCGCCTGGAATGGATGCAATTAGCTGGTGGTGTGATTCGCGCAGCCTCAAGAGCAACGTCGGCGCAGAGGCTGCTCCTCCATCTCTCCACCACCACCCGCTGAAGCTACCGCGTCGTGATTCTGGCGGAGAAACGGCCTTCTAGCGGCAACCGCCGTATTAGTTCAGCTAATCGCGGCCGTTCGACAGCCCACCATCAGTGACCGAAACGCCACCCGGCCGCGATGCGCAATAAAATGTTAGCCGTTCGACGCTGCAGAGCCGCAAGCGTTCTGTACGCTGTTCATCGGCCTGAGTAGCCTGCAGAAACAACGCTGCCGCTTTAATCCGATATGCCGTTCTCGTTTAGGATGGCCGTACAGGCTTCCTGCCTCCGTTGAGTATGCATTGCGTCATAGCTTGTTGGTTGTCAAGAACCTAAACGTCCAATTACTTTGAAAGATTTCTCTCCTCTACCAAACCTCATTTCGCTCGATTCCTATCCATTCATCCTGAGAATCCGGTTTCAAAATTTCACGATGCCTGGTGAAGTGATAGACCGCCCCAACCCAGAGCCCTCGCCGTCAAATCTCCCCGACGATGTCTTGTCTCTTGCAGTCAAAATTGAGAAAAAGCCGTTGCCGGAGGATGCAGTCACTTCTTTGAAAGAATTCAGACGGGCGGCTTGCTACATTGCGGCTGGTATGACCTCCCTTGCCGAGCGGTCTGGAATACTTACGAAGCAGGACGCTGATATGTCACAGCTATGATATTTCTGAAGGACAATTCACTCTTAGAGCGCGACTTGACTTTCGAGGATGTCAAGCCTCGACTACTTGGTACGTTTCGATCATTGACTGCGTAAACGAAGATCTTCAGATCTTTGCAGCTTCCAACCTCATCTACTCCCTAAGTTCTAGCTAATACTAAGAAGGCCATTGGGGTACTTGCCCCGGCCTCATCCTCGTATATTCGCATCTCAACTACCTTGTACGCAAGCACGAGATGGACATGATCTACGTCGTGGGACCTGGCCATGGTGCACCTGCGATATTGGCATCTCTCTGGCTGGAGGGTTCAATGGCCCGATTCTACCCTGAATTCAGTCGAGATCGAAAGGGACTTCACAAACTGATCACGAAGTTCTCCGTTACTGGCGGTCCGCCTAGCCACATCAACGCCGAGACTCCAGGCTCTATCCACGAAGGTGGAGAGCTGGGCTATGCCTTAGGTGTCTCCTTCGGTGCTGTTATGGACAAGCCAGACCTGGTTGTAACATGCATTGTTGGTGACGGGGAGGCGGAAACTGGCCCAACGGCAACCGCGTGGCACAGCTATAAGTATATCGACCCCAAGGAGTCCGGTGCAGTGATTCCCATCGTCCATGTAAATGGGTTCAAGATTAGCGAGCGGACTATCTACGGTTGTATGGACAACAAGGAGCTCGCCGCTCTGTTTTCTGGATATGGATATAAACCTCGTTTCGTCGAAGATATCCAAGATATCGACACCGATCTAGGAAACTCGTTAGAATGGGCCCTTGGTGAGATCAGACGGATTCAGAAGGCTGCGCGCGAGGACAAGCCCATCATGAAACCACGATGGCCGGTGATCATCATGCGAACTCCAAAGGGATGGAGCGGTCCGAAGAAGGTGGACGGGGAGTTCCTTGAGGGCTCTTTCCATTCTCACCAGGTTCCACTGATGAAAGCTAAGACTGATCCTCAGCATCTTGAAGATCTGCAGGGCTGGTTGAAGAGCTATAATCCCGAGGAGCTATTCAACAAAGACGGGTCTCCCGTAAAGCGAATTCTGGATATCATCCCAGAGAACGATGACAAGAAACTGGGCCAGCTCAAAGAAACCTACGACCCATATATCGACCTCAAGGTGCCGGACTGGACTGGACTAGCTGTCGAAAAAGGAGGTGAGGAGAGCTGCATGCAGCTGTGTGGTAAACTCATGGGCAAGGCATTCCAGGACAATCCGCGGACCTTGCGGATATTTTCTCCCGATGAGCTCGAGAGCAACAAGCTTGGAGCCGTCTTTGACCATACTAACCGAAACTTTCAATGGGATGAGTTCTCCAATGGGCGCGGCGGTCGCGTTATTGAGATTCTATCGGAGCACTGCTGTCAAGCCTTCATGCAAGGCTACACCCTTACTGGACGCACAGCGCTATTCCCATCTTACGAAAGCTTTCTGGGGATCATTCACACCATGATGGTCCAGTATGCTAAATTTGGGAAGATGGCACAAGAGACGTCATGGCGGCGCCCGATTGGTAGTCTCAATTATCTGGAGACATGTAAGTCTTCGCCTCTATATCAACAACCGGACGCGCTGGGCGTGAAAAAGTGGCACACTCATCAAGCACTCTGTCTCGCGTGTACACCTGTTTGCCACTGTCTAGGGTGCTTCAATGAGTTTCCACATAGTCCAAGGCGAAGGGGTTCTATCTCGTTCAGATTCCTGAAATTGCATCGAAGCACCTCAAGCAGTGGCAGACAGGTGTACACACAAGACAGCTTGCTGTAGAATTCGAGTGCCACCTTTTCTATGCCCCGCGTGCCGGAGTGGCTCCACGTGCTGACCACCGTCACGATATCTAGCAACTTGGACGCGACAAGAACACAACGGCTTCTCACACCAGAATCCTTCCTTCATCGGCGCGATATTGAATCTGAAGCCTACGGCTGCGCGTGTGTATCTTCCACCCGACGCCAATTGCTTCCTCTCAACACTTTCGCACTGTCTGAGGTCGAAGATGTACATCAACCTCATGGTTGGCTCCAAACAGCCGTCGCCCGTTTTCTTGTCTCCCAAAGAGGCAGAAGATCATTGCCGAGCTGGCGCTTCGATCTGGGAATTTGCTAGCGTCGACAAAGGATTGAATCCTGATGTCGTTCTCGTAGGCATTGGAGCCGAATTGACATACGAAGTCATCAAGGCAGTGGAACTTCTTCGTGAGCTGGCACCAGCACTTCGAATCCGAGTCGTGAACGTGACGGACCTGATGGTCTTGGGCACCGAAGGCACGCATCCGCATGCCCTCAATGACCAAGATTTCGACGCTCTCTTCACTGCTGATAAGCCAGTGCATTTCAACTACCACGGCTACGCATCTGAGTTGAAGGGCCTGCTGTTCGAGCGTCCGCAAATCCAGCGCATCACGGTCGAGTCGTACCGTGAGGAAGGATCTACGACTACGCCATTCGACATGATGCTCTTGAACCACGTCAGCCGTTATCACGTCATGGAGTATGCTCTGCGAGGCGGCGCGAAGTCCAACGAAAAGGTGAGCACGAGTCTGGTGAGTGTGCTTGCGGACATCAAGCATAGAGCCCAGAAGACGAGGGACTACATCTTGGCGGAAGGGGAAGATCCTGCGGACACGTACAAGATGCCGCGGCTGGAGGGCATGAAAATAGGTGGCGGCGGGGGCGGCGTCATGTATGAGGGTTGACGATCTGCGTACACCCTGTTGACGCTGTCTGGGGTAACCTGATGAGTTTACTAGTTGTCCAAATTGCCGAGTTTCTCTCTCATTTGGAATGCTGAAAATACTATGAAGCTCCTCATGCAGCGGTAAACGAGTGTACGGATTTCTATAACGAGGCATTGAATCCTATTATGTAGAGCGTTTTCACTTACAGAGAGAGGAGTCGTTAGCAAGCTACTCAGAAGTCATTCCAGAATGCCGAAAAAGAATTTAAGGTTCTCTGGTGTGCTTGGCAACGGCTACGTACATGTCCCACAGGCTAGACTGTCGTTCGAGTGTTGAGATGTGGCGTTTTGGAAGCATAGAAATCACGTCTAGACCCTCCCGGAGTAATTACTACACAGCTAACGTGAAAGAAAACGGCGCAGCCCTGCGTCGGAACAATTATCCGATAAAGCGAATGACATACGAGGGACCCAAACCTCATGTTAGCGGGTATTCGTCTCCAATATGTTGTCGAACGGGGGTCGGACTATGGAGCGTCGTAGGTGCCGCCGATCAACTCAATGACTCTCTCCACCATAGACTTTGCCGTCTAGTACCGAGCATTTTCCGCCCACGGATTGGGAGAGTCTTCTCTCCAACGTTGCAACTGGGCCGTCCCCATCGGCTGCAGCTTGAGTTGTTGAAATACGGGCACCCATAGCCTTTCTCAGGAGGGGGTTGATTCATCTGGTATAGGCTACAGATAGGTTTGTCTCAAACAGCTTGTCCCGTCCGATACTCTTTGGGGTTTCACATTCCAACGTGAGTCAGTCTGTTTGTGTTCCCAAGGATCTGGGTCCTTGGAAGCTAACGTCTGCCGTCACCATCACCAGGGATGCCTTGTCATGGTCAGGCCTTGAACGAACCCCTTCGACGGCAGATGTGCTCATCGTTCTGCAATGCTCCACTAATCGGACCCATCTACTTAGGCTGCCGGGCGGTAATCTGATCCTCTACATCTGCCTCCATATTCTTCGCCCGAAGCCTACTGAAGCTTCGTACTACCACAAGGTAGGAAGCCTCACTTTTTGTGGTATCGTATAGATGATACTACTTCATGTGAATTGACTATCCAAACTCGAGATTGGGTCTCGTCACATGATGCACCTGTGCCCCTCAACATCATACCATATTCCCTCAAGACCCCGCCGACAGCCAAAAGACACCGAGGATTGACGCCTCAGCCGCCTGTGACAGGCAGATGCTATGGACGCCTCCTCCACGAGGCCAAAGACCCAGACTTGGGCGATCCTTGTAGCCCCACGAATAGCGAGGATGATGGCTGCAGATCTAGCCGCTTCCCTAGGGTTATGATTCGTAGAGTCGAAATAGAGTTTCGGGTACGAGGGTTCTCCTCTTGATCCATACGCGTACAGTAACAAATAACGAGGCCACCATGGCAAGCCGTCCTAGTGCTTTGGGGCTGCTCCATAATTTATGTAACGGCAAGCATGCATGAGAGCAATCTTGATCCGCGACCCCCTTACCAGCGATCTTTTCATCTCTCTTTCCTTTTTCCTCTCTGCAGATCTTTTCTCGGCCTCTTCTTGCCACAAAAAACATATCCCGACGCCTAAAGTTTGCCAGTATGGTCTCAGTTGGGGGTCTTGGATGGACGGTGATAGCCGTCATGATCGTTGAGACGCTGATGGCCGCGACTTTCTTAAGTGCCCGCTTTTGGGCGAGGATACGCTTGCTTGGTGGTCTCAGGTCCGACGACTACCTTTTGCTTGCAACATTAGTGAGAAGAACTGATGCTCATAATTCAACTGGCGATGACAGAGGCTGACAATGAAATAGATATACTTGGCTGTGGTCACCATCTTGTGCGCACTCGCCGCAAGAGAAGGATTCGGCCAACATTCAAATGCCCTGACCATTGAAGAGAATGTGGCTGCCACGAAGCTGCTCATTATCTCACAAACTTTCCTCTGTCTTTGCGTCTGGTTTAGCAAAGTGGCCACCGCCGACTTTTTGCTCAAGATCGTTACTCAGAAATGGTATTTATGTCGCATGCTCGTTCATAACGGTTCGCTAATCACGGCTTTCAGGCATAAGATATTTCTCTATTTCTGCATGATTTCTGTCTCCGTGCTGGGCGCGGTCGTCTTTGTCGGCTTCTATACCCAATGCTCGCCCCTCGGCATGGCTTGGGACCCGCGTATTCAGGGTAAATGCTACATCAATGTAACTGTTTTGGGTACTGTCAACGCCGCGTACACGACAGCGATCGATTTCATCCTAGCTGGTACGTCTTCACAACAAGAGTTCCTGAACCTTGGCGTAAGCGCACTTCAAAGACTTACATGCCGCCAGGTCTTCCATGGCTTTTCCTTCGCAAACTGCAGATGAAGCCTAAGGAGAAACTCATCATCAATCTTTCACTGAGCGTCGGCATCTTGTAAGCAGCCCCGACCCTCTACCTACCGTAGAAGACACTACTAAATGCTCACCCAGCGCGGGAGTCTGCGGCATCATCCGCGTGACAAAAGCAGCCTCATTATCGGCGAAATCCGACTACACCTGTAAGCTCTGTCGACATCACCACTTCGCTCCCAGACCCAACGCTAACCCACCACCCCCAGACGAAACCGTCGAGCTTCAACTCTGGTCCACCACCGAAACCACCGTCAGCATCATGTGCCTGTGCTTCCCAGTGCTGCGGCCGCTCTGGCGCCGCTACGTCAAGGGCCTCAGCAAGGGCGACAGCAGCAACGGGCCCTTCTCGTCGCGCGAGCGCGGCTACCAGCTCAGCGGCCGCACCAACACGACCAACAAGAACGGCAACACGTTCACCGTCAGCGCCAGCGTGCCGGGCATCAAGCACTCCAAGCAGCCCGACAACGACAGCGCGGATAGCATACTCGGGGAGGATTTTAGGATGCACAGCACGAACCCGCATGCGTTGGGCGGGATTAAGGAGACGAAGAGTGTGGTTATTGAGTATGATGATCGGGATACGGAGAGGAGCCAGAGTGGGCGCAGTGTTTGAAATGATGAGAAATGAGAGGGTAGGGTTAGGGGATTAGGCAGTTGTGGCGTTTGAGGGCGGGGGAATGGGATGGAATATACGATACCCGTAATGGACTCGGCTAGGTCTTTGAAGGTTGCACGCATGCTGGGTAGATGATCGGCATGTGTTTCTTAGCCCGAGATAAACGTGGAGGTGCTCGTGTCCTACCAAGCTCACTAAGTATGGCTTCAGGACAATTGAAGTCTTCAAAACCAGCAAAAGGGACTAGCAAAGGGGCTCAGTGGCCCAAGAGGGCTTCGACTAAAGAATAGAAACATCGCAAAAAGAGTTTAGTGAAAAAAGAAGCGATAACGAAAACAGCGATGAAGGGTATTAGATAAGAAAGCTGAGCTGGACCTAAGAATTGATTGAAAGGCTAAGGAACGTCTTTACTTTGAAGAAGTTCACAAATACCGAATCAGAAGGTGAATGCGGAAAGGAAGACGAAGGAATCTAACACGGCCCGGAGTTCGGCTGCGTATCACGTGATAATCACGATATAATCACGATGTAATCACGTGCCGACCTTTATGGGGAAGCTGTTGGACACGTTTTAGGAGACTTGATCACGCTGCGCAATCCCTTGTCAGCGCCATCAGTAATCACTAGCTTGTGGCGATGTTGGTTTTTGAAAGCTCGGTGAAGCACTGGAATTGGCGTATTGATCTCGGAAGTAAAGACAGTGAGTAAGTTCGGAAACCAGAATACTTACACCAACTTACATCTCCAGGCAAGGGATAAGGAAGGCCAGGATGGTCAGTCTATTAGCTAACAGGAAAATGTTAGTCCTTAAACACGACATTCTAGCCATCTTACAGCGCAATGCCGTGCTCTTCAGTCTATCGAGCAGCCAATCGGGCATGACACGGCGGGCTGATCGATCGGCGACCGCCTTCCGCCACGCCACAACGGCACGACGGGTGCCCAGACGCTCGGACATAAAGATATGTAGCTAACGACCTTCCGGACACAGGATAGTGAATGATGACAATAAACCACAACAACCACGCAGAACAATCCCACTAAGCTGCCTTGAGGGCTGCGTGCGATCAGGTCACTGCAGACGGTCCCTGTCTATCGACATGGCGGTCAACCCGGCGCCTGGACACGCTCAGCACACGCAGCATCCCAGCTACCCTGGCTGTCCCACGCTACCTTATCTCTTCCACAGCTACCCCGGGGGCTCACTACCCCGCTGCGGGCAGCTGCAGACAGCATGTCTCCTGCTGTTCCTGGACGAACCGCAACTCAAGCCTTGCATAAGCGCAGGGATAAAGCTTCGCGAAGCTTGCTGAGCTCCGGGCAGTCGTCATAGCTGATAGACTGCGGGCTGGCATTTAACCATGGGAGCTCCGCGTTGTACCGCGAAGTTTGCTGTGGTATCTCTGAAGCTCCTTCTTTGACAATTTAGTGATTTCATACCGCAATTGGTGAACTTCCAACGCGATTGAGTGACTTCAAGATGCTCGGACTCCCTTCCAAGCTGGCTACGGCCGTTGCGGTGCTGCTGGCATCGCAGAGTGTTGCGAAGATCTTCCATGATCCTACGCCGCGCCCGCCGAAGTTTGCAAAGAGGCAGCTGCCTGCGAATGCTACGGGTGTGAAGACAATCACCTCTCCTACTGGCGTCAAGATCCGATACAAGGAGCCCGGGAAGGATGGGGTGTGTGAGACTACGCCCGGTGTGAACAGTTACTCGGGCTACGTCGATTTGGCGGAGGACCAGCACACCTTCTTCTGGTTCTTTGAGTCGAGGTCCAATCCTTCGACCGACCCAATTACACTCTGTAAGCCACAAGCAGTACTTCAACGTCCTTCAAGATCTAATGAAACTAGGGTTGAATGGCGGACCAGGAAGTGATTCTATGATCGGTCTCTTCCAGGAATTGGGGCCGTGTAACGTTTCGGAAGCACTGGAGTCCCATCTGAACCCGTACTCATGGAACACGAACTCGAATCTGCTCTTCCTCAGTCAGCCTTTTGGCGTCGGTTTCTCATACATGACCGAGGCCCCGGGATCCCTTACGGACGACTGGGAAGCAGTTATTGTCAACGCCAGCGTGGAGGCTGTGACCGGAGTAAGTGGCAACGATTCTCGTGGCCTCCAGTAACGCCAATTGCTGATGCTATATCCTAGCGTTTCCCGTTCATCGACCCTGAGTACATCGAGACTACCGATGAGGCCGCCGCTGCAGCATGGCATGTCCTCCAAGGATTCTATAGCGCGTTGCCTCAATTGGACTCTGGTGTCCCGTCGAAGGAGTTCAATCTGTGGACCGAGTCGTATGGAGTAAGTGCAGTAGGCCACTTCTCGTAGCAATGGACTAACGGCAACCCAGGGACATTACGGGCCTGCCTTCTACAACCATTTCTACGAGCAGAACAAGCTCGTCGCAAACGGCTCGCAGCCCGGCATTGAACTGAACATGAACAGTCTCGGGGTAATCTAACCAGCCTCATAGCAACCATGAAGCTTCAGCTAATGCGATTGGCAGATAATCAACGGCATAATCGACGAGTATATCCAAGTTCCCTTCTACCCAGAACAGGCCGGTCAGTCAAGCATCTGCGCCCATATGTGAAGTGTGAGACTAATTGAGGGATAGTGAACAACACGTACGGAATCAAGTCCTACAACGACACAGTCTACAACTTCGCCAGATTCGCAGCCTACATGCCCGATTACGGATGTCTTGCTCAGATCCAGTACTGTCGCCAGAACAACCACACCACCATTGCCGACTTCGCGGTCTGCTCCGAAGCGGCCGCGATCTGCCGTGATATGGTCGAGAGCGCCTACTACGTCTTCGGTGGTCGTGGCGTCTACGATATCAGGTTAGCTCTGCAATGTTTCTCTCCTTGTGGATCCTTACTGATAGGTTTCAAGACATCCCTACGATGATCCAACTCCCCCAGATTACTTCACCGAGTACCTGAATGCGGCCTACGTCCAGAACGCGATTGGCGTCAACCTGAACTACACCTCTGCGAACGACTGGGTGTACTGGGCCTTCCAGCAGACAGGCGACTTCATCTACGACAGCTTCATCGAAGACTTGGAGAACCTGCTTGACCAAGGCGTGCGAGTCAGTCTGATCTATGGCGACGCTGACTACATCTGTAATTGGTTCGGTGGAGAGTAAGTTGCCCCCGCTCAATGCTCTCATAGAGGAATCATCACTGACTTGTCATACCAGGGCTATCTCAAAGAACATCAATTACACCCACCAAGCCGAGTTCAACGCAGCTGGCTACGAGGCTTTCAAGGTCGACGGTGTGCAGTACGGCGAAGTCCGACAAGTTGGCAACTTCTCCTTCACCAGGGTCTACGAGTCTGGCCACGAGGTTCCGTACTATCAGCGTAAGTGTCTGATCCAATGAAAACTGGGAGTAGAACTTACTAACTTATCTACTCACAGCCATTGCCGCGTTGGCCCTCTTCAACCGCACCATCAACCACTTCGACATCGCAACGGGCGATATTCCAGTGACGGCGAACCTGACCACCACTGGGCCGGCCAATACAACGCATACGGAGTCGTTCGTTCCGCTGCCGGCGACGAGCTCGGCGTCGTAGGGGAAGATAGGGACGGGAGCGCGGAGGAGGTGGACCATAGACCTAGGAAATAGCTGAGCTAGGAATCACCTTTTCTAGTATGTACTTTCTAGAGAAAGGAAGTCGCGCTCGGGGTCGGCGATCATGTAAAAAAACGAGAAATGAAGTCTATAAAAAAAATGCTTTGCTTAATGTGTGGTGAAGAGTCGAGTCATGTCGATGTAAGTTGCGTGAGAAAAAGCAACTTTGTGGAACGCAGTGTCCATATGAGAAGACGATGACTTTACTGATGGGTGGATGAGAAGAACAGAAGTTGAGAGTCACGTGATGCGCATTCACGTCCATCAATTTTCTCATCAATGACATCCGTGATTGGCCAATAACAACGCCACACTTTGTGTGAAGAAGAGCAGCTTAATATAATGTGAACACTCATTCCAAGTAAGCAATACTTCCCTTCGCCGCTGACAGACCGTATGCAAAACTGACGTGCCCCTGGGGTATCGACTAAGCAAACCTCACCTCTCCAAAAAGACTAGCCCTCACTTGAAGCAGTGCGGCAAGCTCCAGCACAAATTCTTGCAGAATCACAACGTTCGTCAAGACGTGGCCTAGACTGGCGTCCTTGACATCGCCCTCCTCCTTCTCTTCACCGTCTTGACGTTCCTCAGGCGCGTTCTTCAGCACCACCTCAAACCTGTGCTCGCTTGGTATCCGTCGGAAGGTTATACGTCGCTTCAGTGCCTCGGCGTCTGCCACCTCAGCTAGGTTGCTGAAAACATCCGCCATCAGGGTGGTCTGGCGTTGCCCTTTCGGCGCAGGCAGAGGGCTGAGGCCACGCGAGGGGGCTGGTGACCCAATGAGAGTTTGGCCTCCAAGCCGAGAAGAGGGGGTAGGAGAACCAGTGGGATCGAACCCTTCCTTCCGGCCCCTGGGCGACTGGGACCTCGACGGTGTTGCTGAGCTCTCGAGGACGTGTTTCGGTATTTGAGGACTCCATGTTCCGGCTGGGAGCTCGGCGGAGGGACGCGTGGATTTAGATTGAGGCGTAGGCGCCTTCATTGCCTCTGTTATCTCCTCGTGTACTCGAAATGCTTGTTTTCTATTTGCGAGATGTTGTTCGAAATCGGGGATGTCGGTGCGCATGATCTCGATCTGGGACTGGAGCGAGGATAGGCCAGATAGGAGAGCTGGCGCGTTGTGAGAGGTCCACATTAGGTGTCGGTTGGCTAAGTGGATGTCGTGGCTGAAGTCCTCTTCCGAATCCTCCTCTTGCTCTTGCTCTTGCTCTGACTCCGGAGTGAACTGGTATCTTGACGGTTCGACCGAGAGCCATCCCTCTAAACGTAACTTGGCGCATGCCCCTAATTGACAAAATGCTTCTGTCAAAGCAAGGTTGGTCTCAACGTCGTTGGTAAAAAATCGTGAGAGTAGGTGGAGTAGAGACCGAAGTAGAGGATCTTCAGGCAGAATGCAATGTAAGTTAACCTCCCGTGGCCCATCAATGGCGAAGAAGTCGGGACTTTGTAATCCCGCGTCGGCCAGTGATAACATTCGGAGAGAACATGGATGACTTTCCAGATGGGAAAGAGTGTCTTTAAGATGACTGTCATACGCTTCGTCCAGTCCGACTTCGCCGGCGATGGATGTTGCAAGAGACAAGTATGCTTCCATTTCAGCATCCAAGGCGCCAACTGTTCGTTGTGGCTCTATGTGATGAATATCCAAGACTTTCAATAAAGTCCCGACAGCATAGCTGTGATTCTTGCTGAGGATGACGGTCATCAACTTTAGCGCAGAGATGACTGTCTGCGGGTTCTTAGAATCCGCACTAGTAAGGATTAGATCTACCAGGTTGAAGAGCGAAGGATTCATCCTGTCATCGTCATTGTCAGGCTGCGAAAGCAGCATTAGAGATTTCCGCCGTTGAAGCGCTACTGGCGATCGCGGTGTGCGTGGCCTCCCATCTGAGGATTCAGGAAGCGCTAGCAAATAATGAAGTATCATATGAACTAGTTCGGGATGATCAAGCGCGTCTAGGATGCGCCGAAGATATGTTAAGACTGCAACGGAGGAGCCGCCGTCCATATCTGAAGACTCCAACAGGGAGGGGTATCTGTTAATTTATTAACGAGCGCTCATCGTGACATGGAACGGAACTTACAATAGTTGCTGCAGGAATAAGACTTGAAAATGATCTATTAAAGTATGCCTAACGTCGATAGATCTGCAGTGCTCTAGCACGTCCTGCCAGAAAGTCAAATATGAGAGAAATGTGTCCATATGGACCGTGAACTCTGGAGAAAACAGGCTCTCGGCTTGTGCGGAGCTCTGCATTTCATTATAATCCGAAAGGGTCAAGATGATTGGCAAGTCTTCTGTTGGATGTAAGATTGATAGTTTCCTAGTCTTTGTCAATATATAATCTATGCTGTGCATGATGTAGACAAACCTGCTGAGTTGACTGTAAAGTGCCCCGAGCCCACTTGCCATGAGCGTCGGGAGATCACTACCCACGATCCATTGCTCCAGGTCCTGCGATTTCGATGCGGACTCGAAGATATACAACAAGCCAGTCCGCGCAAAGTCTCCGATACGGCCTTCATGATGTACATGGTCGATCAACTGGTAGCACAAAGGAAAGTCTTCTTTCTGGGTGAGACCAGCAAAATCAACCTTTGGGTTGACCGACCGTCCCTGCGAGTCGCTTGAACGAGAGGTGAACCACACTGGCAGTATCTCCGGTTGTAACCTGATCTTGGCCGATATCCCAAATAGGAGCTCCACGATCTCAGCTTCTGTATCTTCCCCCACTACCATGCTGCCAGAGCCGACAATTCTTCCGATAAAGTTCATGAGGGATTGCGCAAACTGGTCGTTCTCGAGAAAATCTTCCTCCTCGCTATCGAGGAGCGCTCCGAACAGGGCAACACCATCTCTGACCACACCCTCATTGTACGCAGTCGACGCGATCTTGGAGACAGCATTGTAGATTTGGGAGGAGGCTGCAAAGGAAAGGCAGAGGTGAGGTGCTGGCGATCGAGATTCGTCGTTGAGGATAGAGGTGAGGCGCTGGAAGCAGGTCCGTATCGCTGCTATAGCTTGCGCGTCGGAGGCAAAGGCGGAGGTTTTGTGCCAAGTTTGCTATATTATATTAACGGCAGGCTCTATTTTAAGTCGGAAAGGTGGAGCAAACCAATATCTCATTATATACTCTCTTGAAGCGTGCCAGACGCTGTTGGGGGTTGTTCGACGCGGCCTGTTTCTTGGGGGTGGCCCCAATCAATCGTGACCACTGTAGGGAGCCTGTCAGTATCGCAACTCGAGTCCAGAACATTTGGTAAGCTTACGAAGTCCATCGCTGTATGTCATCTGTCGTCCATGGCCTCCAGGAGTCCGTTGGTGAGCGCAGCCGTCGTCGTCTCTGAAGCAATTGCGGAGAAAGGGCACCTCCGAGACGCGGCTCGTGCTCACGGGTTTCACCTATCTATAAATTCACTTTGATAAGACATGACACTGGAACATCGCGTTTACAGTGGCTATCACATGAGGTTTAGCAGCACAGTGATTTCCAGTTCACAAGGAGTTTTATACCGATCATATACAGTAATTGAGAAAGACGGCACATTATTATTTCCAAACTAGTACAAAGGTATCACATAAATAGGCCATAGAACCGCCCTAATCAAAACTTCGACAAAGAAAATCCACTACAGCATCCGCCTACTTCGACTTGCTGGACTCCAGATGCCACGCCATGATCTTCTGGAAGATCCCCTTGCCGCCGCTCTCAATGACGTCTCCGTGGCACGGAATGATGCGCTCGAAATCCCACTCATTGATCTTCGCAGTGCTCGCCGCGTACCCCTTCCTATCTCCGGAGCTGATGGCGTACCAGATGAACCTCCTCTGGCCCATTGCAGCGCCCTGGGTGCTGTTGACAGCCTTGAAGAGCTTCGTCAGAATGCCGTCAGATGCATGCCCGCCGGCCTTGCTGTACTGTTCGTTTGCGGGTAGGTTGAAGATGTAGTCGGCCTCGATCATGGTCTTGGTGGGCTTGTGGTTGAAGACGATCTCTTTGTTGGTGTGGGCCGCCACGAACTCGTACTCGAACTCAGAGTCGAATTCGGAGTCAACGGTGGTCGGCTTGTTGGCAGTGAACACCACGCTAAATGGGACATCCTCGTTCTTCTGCTTTGTGCGCTTCTCTAGTAGGCCCTCTGGTCCGAGGACTTTGGCGTTGGGATATGCTGCGTGCCATGGACCAAGGAAGATGTGGTGCTGTGTATTGTTAGCTTTATGCGGCATACTAGGAGATTTGTGAGTGGAATATTACCTCGATATCGAGTGCGGCGATGTACTTGACTTCACCAAGCGATGCGACAGTTGCTTTGACCTCATCTGTCAATGCGACGGGAGAGAAGACGGCAAGAGCTCCAGACTGGAGTCGGACTGGAGAAACATTAGTAAATGATCACAAGCGCAAAGTTACACTGGCTATCACTGACCTACGGTGCCCCTCCCGCCAATCTTAATCCTACCAAATCGCAAGAATGGCACGGAGAAGGTGGTAATGACGTTTGGGACAACTTGACGAATGACCATGACCTTCGCCGGGTCTTTGGGAACAAGTTTGCCGCTCATGTTGATTGGAAGTGCCGCGGATTGGTATATGTGAGAGAGTTGGAAATGTGTTTGTTGTCGAAAAGCTTTGGAAGTCTGGAGCTTTAAGTTAAGCGGATAGAAGGGATGACGTTGACACTTGAGCTGGAAGGTGATGAATTATCAGATGGGATGAGGCCTGAATTGTTCGAGGCCCCACCGCTTTATGTATCTCCTCCTTTCATCAGCCCACTATGTATGTAATCACCGCCGTTGCGTTCAAGCCTCATTCTGCACCTATGCCTTGAAGTTTGCAGGAATGCAAATACTCAATGCCTCGGCCATTCACAGCGCTGGTCATTGCATCGCTAAGCCGTTGAAGACGCCACCGGCGCGCGCTGTCAGCAACGACAAGGCTCGTAGTTTGCCCGTTTCACCCACCGCACTACTGCCCTTCCAGGATAAAACTGTCAAAGAGAGCGTTGGGTCCTTGGCTTCTTCCATGCGTGAGTAAGCCGATTGGTCTTTTTGGAACTGTCAACGTGGGCCCTGGAGAAACCAAGACGGAAGGGCATTATTGAGTTTCCCCTATATCTCGGTGCCGAGCATGTGGGGTGCTTGTAGTAATCCGGATGGTCTGGAAGTATTTGATAGCGAAGGCTTCGAACGGGCCATAGATTCTAGTTGACAAATACTTCATATACTTGAAATGCTCACAACCATCTTAGCATATGAAATTGCAGCATGTTTTCTCGACCTACTTCGGCCGAGCTATTTGAGACGTTGACCACGTCTATGTTTACCACCAAGCCGAATCTTCGTAATCCGCCATCTTTCCAAGATCATGATTCATAGCTTCATGCCT